TCCAATACCATCTTAATGGGAAACGTATGCAAATGTGGAAGGTGTTAAAGAGGACATCGACATGTTTTTTTGCTTCCAAGACAAGTGATTTCTGTAATCAGGGTATTAACAACCTGATTGTAAGATGAAAAAGCGTCATCGATAAGAATGGAGATTATTTCATTAAGTAAAGGTTTTATTTTGATATATAAGTTGTTCGGGTTTTATCATCTAAAAAACGCGACATTAATTTCTTGGCGACCTATAGTTAAATTTGCAGATGATATTAAGGTCTTTGGTGTTGCTAGCTGTGAAATGGATACTGCTGATTTACAAAAGGATTTAGATCATCTAGTGAGTTGGGCAAATATAGGGCAAATGGATTTTAATTATAAGAAATGCAAGATAATGCATGTGAGTTATCATAATTTGAATCATAAGTATAATTTGGATGGGAATAACCTTAACAGTGTCATGAAGGAAAAGGATTTTGGTGTATTACTAATAGTTGATCAGTCTCTAAAGCCATCCAAGCAGTGTGCTGTTGCTAGTGGTAAGGCAAATGGGATTTTAGGTTGTATCTACAGAAATAATGAATACAAGTCTAAAGAGATTATAATTTCATTGTATAGGTCACTGGTTAGGTTACGTTTGGAATATTGTGTTCAGTCTTGGGCTCCTTACCTTAGTAAAGACATTGAATTGTTAGAAAGGGTTCAGAGAAGGGTTACTATAATGGTACCTGGGTTTGAAGGGTTGTCATACGAGGAGAGGTTGAAATCTCTCAAATTGTTTTCTCTTGAAACAAAAGAAGAGTTTGGGGAGATCTGACTGAGGTGTTTCAGATTGTAAAAGGAATTGATAGTGTTGATGCATCATTTTTTCATATCTAACGGTGAAAATAGTAGGACTAGGAGGACACAAGTATAAATTTTGGTAAGGTAGGAGTCATCTTCAGCAAAGACAGTTTTATTTTTCTAACAGAGTGGTTTGCCTTTGGAATTGGTTACCTTCGAATGTTGTGGAGGCAGTAAATTTAAGTGAATTTAAGAGAAAGCTTGATAAGTATATGAATGATAAGGGTTGACTTTATTTGTTTGTTTGTTTGTTTGTTTGTTTTTGAATTTTGCGCAAAGCTACACGAGGGCTATCTGCGCTAGCCGTCCCTAATTTACCAGTGTAAGACTAGAGGGAAGACAGCTAGTCATCACCACCCCCCACCAACTCTTGGGCTACTCTTTTACCAACGAATAGTGGGATTGACCGTCACATTATAACGCCCCCACGGCTGAAAGGGCGAGCATTTTTGGTGGGACAGGGATTCAAACCCGCGACCCTCAGATTGCGAGTCGAGTGCCTTAACCACCCGGCCATGCCGGGCCAGGTTGTTTTTAAGTATTTTTTTTTAACTTTATTTATTAATAGTTTTAGTTTAGTATAGAGGATGGAACAGCCGAGATGGACCAAAACGCTACGCTATGTTATGTCTTTAATTTTTCTATTCATTTAATATGTTTTTCCAATTTAATTAAATATCTAATTGTACTCCAAAGTACCTAATACTTGCTGGTTCGTCCTCGGT